AACACTGGTTTTACACTCATCCGTTTCGTTGCCATGATTATAATCTCCATGCATCATCATTCAACAGTATTTGCTTCTATTCCCTGTTTTTGTTGGTTTTTTTTGGATTCAGTTATATTGTACCAGCCTTCTGCAATGGGAAATGTTCCCACCATCTCTCCATTCTATTTGTTCTGGAACATCATTTTTATAATGTGGTGGAGTATAAATAGACCATGATTTTAATTTTTCTTCAATCATGCTATGATTACCTTCAATTAGGGGGCATGACCTTTCTCTGTCCCTTAGTGGCATCTTGGGAAGATTCTGTAACTTTGATTAGTTGGTCCATTTAAAACTTCAGTATCAAATCTAGCTTCAATCCAGTCTTTGTGCCATATCTGGTATAGGCTTGGCATGTCTAAAGGGCACAGAAGTACAGTGAGGGGCATTCTCGTCTTCTCGTCTGGATCTAGCTCCTCTGGAACTGAAGGAGAACACCCCAGGGACCTACATAGCTTGCCATATGGAATGGGAGGAATGCAGCCTGTTTTCCTTCTGTCCCGTCTCTCAGCTGTACACTCCCGTAGCCACCATCTTTCTCCTTATAGCCTCTTGCTTAGATGAGCATCCAGTGTAAGAACGGCCTTTCATTTGGCCTCTGAACCTGATTCTTTTAAAGTCTAGTTTTTCACTGGATTTTTTTAAGGGGTAGGGAAAAGTAAGTGCCTCTCCTTTCTCATACACCGAACATCTCAGATTTTGTGGGAAAACCAAAGTTTACCCACAGTTCCTCGAACCTCATTATATGGACCTGGGAGAGGGAAGAGGAAGGAGGTTGATCCTTGAGGTCTGTTCTACCTCAGGGAGATAAGTTGGGGGTGACTACCTTAGATATGGGCGTGCTTAGCACTCTTTGCCTTGAGCTTTGGACTTTAACTATCAATTGGGGGGCCCACGGAGAAAGCTTATTTAACATTCTGCTCCATTATTTCTATAGAATAATGCTGCGGACTACTATTTTGATGGAAATATTCATCCATCACTACAGAATCTCACTGAAAACCAGTTAATACAACCTACTTTTCTCCAGCAAAAGGGTGGAAAAGGTATGTGCATCCATTACTCCTTGTATAGATTTTTAAAAAGTACCTGATGTTCCTCTGCACAGTTTTAAGGAGATTGCATGTCTGAGTTTGCAATTGCAATAGCAAACTATTACCACCTTTGAGAATAATTTAACTATCCCTTCTGTCAGCTATGCCCTCTCTTGGCTGCCATCTCTCCTTATAGCATCTGGCCTAGATGGGCAAGAGACACTTGAAGTCACTGTGTAAGTTGTTCTCCTTCAGTGAGCCTTCCTATAGCTTCCCAGAAATTTCGAGAAGCTGCAAAATTTCATTAGTTAACATACATCTTCAAGAATATGTCCATATTTTAGGTTAAGAGGGGGAACTTTTCCATCAGTTATTTTCACAACATTTTTCTGATTTCTCTTTTCAAAAATAGGTTTGTAATTTATTTCATACATTTGAGATCTTGACTTTATAAATGTAAGATGACAGTCTCTTCTATGAAACTGACAAAAATATCAAAGCTCAGTTATATCCTCTGTTGGTTAAGATGTGGTCTATACAGGCTTTCATGAGCTACTGTTGTTATTAAGTGCCATTGAGTTGGTTCTGACCCAGAGCGAACCTGTATAGACGCCCCTAAAGAGCTACCAGAGGAAATGTATTTTGGTACAAACATCAGTATGACATTGTCTACCAGCTCTTCATTCCTTTTGAGTCTTTGAGATGTATAATATAGTGGATTCTATCCTACAGGGTCACTGAGTTCGAATTCTAGTAACCCTTTTGCACACTAGAGTTTTCTTATTTAAAAAAACAAATGATACTTGCACTTATATTATAAGATAGCTGTAATAATTAAATAAGGAAGCCCATGTGAAATGTTCATAGCCTGGCAATGTTGATGGTTTCTCAAAATAGCATTAAGGTGTGTGTGTGTGTGAACATGTATGTGTATATATGTATGTATGTATATGTGTGTATAGGTGTTTCTGTGTGCATTAGGTTGTTCATTGTAATGCTGTGACAGTAAACTGGAGCTCACCAGTCATTTACTGGTGTAAATGGTGTAAGGTATATCTAAGATACATCTCAATTTTGCCATGTAATTTTAAAATGATACTTTGTATTATGAAATGACAATTATCTAGAGTTATTTTACATGAAAAAAAAATTAAACTTAGGGGTACATTGTTGTAAATATATAATAATCTAATACAACCACAAAAAGTATATAAAACCACAGAGATAACATAGATTTATTACACAGCAGTGCTACTGCACTATGGCAGTGCTGTAAGGGGAATAATCCTCCTACTTCTGTCTAGCTCTGTGTAGCTTATCTATTTTTCTTAAACTCTTTAGGGTATGAAGTCTGTATCTTTCCAGTGATATTTTGTGTGTGGCTGTATGACATGAGGACACACATCAACCAAAATTTGTTGTTTTTTAGATAATTAGCTTTCCACTTGAAATGGGAATGCATTTGGAATGGGACAAAATTTCAAAATACTTTAGGCATTCGTTATTGGGAGCAAAATAATACCTGCATAAATTAGAACATATATACCTATTTAAAGTCATGAAGGTATTCCTTATGGATTGAAAGAGCTCTAAAAAATCTTTTTAATTCCATCACTCAAAAGCATTATTAAAAATTCAGACAGGTATGCACCTTGGTTCTCTAGTGATGCTATGACAGGAATCCCACAAGGGAATGAATTTAATCAACAGAAATTCATTTTCTCACGGTTTAGGAGGCTGGAAGCTCAGATTTGGGCTTTTTTTTCTCTGGCTGTGGAGTAAAGGCTTTGTCTCTTCAGTTTCTGCTTCTTGATTCCTTAGAGATCTCCATGCGTCTTAGCATCTGTTTTACCCCAGCTCTGCTCGGCTACTAGTTGACTCTTTCATATTTCAAAAGAAATTGACTCCAGATCCACCCCACATTCATCCTGCCTCATTAATATGACAGAGAGAGCCCACTTCCTCATGGAATTATAGCCACAGGTTTTATAGGCTTTATAGCACATATTCGCAAGGGGGCGTAATTTAATCCATAAGAATATTAGAATGTAAATTAAAAAAATGAAAAGTCTTCCTTTCCTCCTCTTGCCATGCCAACAGTGTGACGTGCTAGCTGTATGTAATCTCAATGCCCCTAGGTGGCACAGTTTGTGCCCAGCTGCTAACCTAAAGGTTGGCAGTTCTAACCTACCCTGTGGCACTTTGGATGAAAAGACCTGGTGATGTAGGGAGCATTTTCTCTGTAACACAGGCGATTGCTATGAGGTGGAATTGATCCAGTGCCAATGAACAGCATCTAATCTCTATATTGCTTGACTTTATTGAGCATGTATTACTTTTTAAAAGTGCAAAATAGTATCCCATTTTTGAAACATTTAAAGGTTAAACCTATGTGTCATGTATATATGTGCAAAAAGAAGAAAAAAATTCTAGAAATACATGGACTAGTTCAAGGTCTTTTACTTTTACCCTATACTTCCATTGAATCTCTTACCATGAGCATGCAATACTTTTATTTAATAAAAACCACGTAAACCTTTAAGTGCTTTTTATAAATTGCAAACCAATTTAAAAAGATCTGTTAAGACGGAGCTGACCGCTGCATGTCAGGCGGAGGAGTTCTGTCTAAGGCTGTGAATTCATGATGTGTGTTTTGGTAAGTCCCTTACATTTCTCAAGTCAGAAGCTCAAGATAATGTAATGCAAAAATCTTGTGTGAAATCCTTTGAGGTTTGGGGACGAATGATTATTGCAAGAGTATTAGTCCTCAGAGACTGTCTTAAGCAGTAGTTTGGAAATCCACTATCCCAAAGGAAAATGTGAAAATGGAATTTGGCTGTGGGTTTTTTAGCTGCTGACTAGTTCTGATAGGGCATAATGTTTGCAGGCTAGTTTGGAAGTCATAAACTAGGCTGGCATCTCTGTTCTCATGAGCAGCTATCTCCTACGCTTAAAACATCCATTAACCAATCAGACAAAAATCGCCACAAACAAACCCTCTGTTTCCTGTCTACTTTGAAATATAAAGGGCTGTGTTCCTAAAAAGATACAAACTTGCATGGTGTCATTTCATTTCATGACAGTGAAGACTATTGCAACGCCCGTTTTCATTGCTCAGAAAATGACATAAAAAGATTCTGCATTTGTCACTGCAGATTTTGTTTCTTCCGCTTCATTTTTCAAATAATTATTTTTCAAATAATTATGCTGTCACGGAATTAGCTTTTTAACAAAACCATGTCATTATTAATTCCACTAATATTATGTTTTATTTGATTTCTGTTTTGTATCTACAAAATGTATTCCCATTCCTTACTTCATTTGACTTGATTTATTTGCGTTCTGGAAATGGGTTTTGAAGTTTCTCTTTAAAGCCACAAAAGTTTTTAGCTCAATTTGTTTAGTTTTGTGGTTTTGAAGAACAGCATTTGAAGTATAAACCTAGTTGTTCTTTAGTGCCTTGGAGTTGGTTCCCACTCACAGAGGGTCTGCACAGGCTTTGCGAGGCTTTAACAAAAATCCCCAAGGGAGCAGAAAGCTGCATTGTTCTTCTGCAGAGTGGCTGGTGGGCTTGAACTGCTGCAGACCTTTTGGGTCACAGTCCAGTGCTTATCATATGGAGTCACCACACTTCCTATAAACCTAGTAGTCAAGAGTTACCTGAAGACCACATGAGAAATGGGAGCCCCAGGTAAAGAGGGCCCCAGGCTTACCTTTTCCAGTGAAAACTAAAACAAAACAAAACCAGTTGCTTGGAGTTTATTCCAATTCATGGTGAAGCCCATGTGTGTCAGAATAGAACTGTGCTCCATTCAGAAAAGTAGAGCATCTCCGGGTCAACTCGAACCCCTCTACCTTTCTGTTGGTCTGCACCACCCAGGAACTCCTTTCCAATAAGGGACATCTTCCCTAACATGTGAAAGGTCCTGTTGAAACTATATTTGGTCAAGTAGACTTTTGATCATTAAGTTCCACAAAATGGTGGCATAAATTTAGCCTTCCAAAAGTTTGAATAGGAGGAAATAGTCCCAATGTACCTTCTAATTCTGTAGTTAACATAGCAAACCCCGAGGATAATCTCTGTACCGCTATGGTGGAGTTTAATACTGCTTTCCTCCATTTTAGGCAGGAAGAAGCTCCGGTTGTTTGAATACCTTCACGAATCGCTGTGCAATCCCGAGATGGCTTCTTGTATTCAGTGGGTAGATAAAACCAAAGGCATCTTTCAGTTCATATCAAAAAACAAAGAGCGACTTGCAGAACTTTGGGGAAAAAGAAAAGGCAACCGTAAGACCATGACTTACCAGAAAATGGCCAGAGCACTGAGGAATTATGGAAGAACCGGAGAAATCATCAAAATCCGGAGAAAACTAACTTACCAGTTCAGTGAAGCCATTCTCCAAAAACTTTCTCCATCTTATTTCTTGGGGAAAGAGCTCTTCTACTCACAGTGTGTCCAACCTGATCAAGAATATCTCAGTTTTAATAACTGGAATGCAAGTTACAACCACCCATATGCCAGTTACCATGAGTTAAGTTACCCTGGTTGCTAACTATGCACTCATATTTAATGGCTTCTTGATATAGGAAACCACTACCTGCTTCAGGATTTTTCTCTAAATAAATAATTTTTCTAAAATAGCATACAATCTATATTAACTTTGGTGCGACATTCTGCTAGTGAACAAATAGCCATCTCATATTTGGAAGTACAGATGAAGTCACCTTGCTGTGACTACTCTATGCAATTACTTTCTACTAGATTAACTAGGTCAATAGATGATTTGATTTATAGATTGATTTAAGCATTTTTCTGGCATGAACTGAGGCAAAAATGTTACTCCCACATAGATCTGACTTTAATGACATAACAAGCAACAGCATATTACATACATGTTTTATTTTAACACTGTTCCTCGGCTTCATAAACACCCGTGGAGGATAGGAATGATGGTTGCACAACATGAACACAATCAATGCCATTAAAAAAAGAAATACTGGAAAGTTCAAAACAAACTTTCATGGATATTCTGAACTGTATTTTCTCTCCACGATCACTCAAGAGGCTGTAGCACTGTGGGGCTAAAGTGATGGTCTAAGGAAAATGCTACCTTAATTCTTTCTTGTTTCTCTCTTCCCTTGGAGAGATCCAGCACTAACATTTCGGGCCACAAGGAGGTGCTGTTGCCCCACTTTTGCTCGGGCTCAGTTTTGAGACCAGCTTTTTTTTTCCTCTCCCTTAATTGTCTGGAAAAGGACCTCTGGGAGCAGCTTAGTGGTTACGAATCGGGCTGCTAACCTCAGGGTCAGCAGTTCGAAACTACCAGCTATTCCGCGGGAAAAAGATGAGGCTTTCTGCTCCCGTAAAGATTTACAGCCTCGGAAGCCCCGTATGAGTCGGAACCGACTCCACGGCACATAACAGAACAGTTGAAACCCAAATCAAACCTGTTGATAATTCCGGATCATGGTGACCTTGGGTTACAGTGAAACTGGAAAGGTGGGGAGGAAACTTTGATAAAGCCTCCCTTCTCTGCCTCCCAAGTTGTCATAAAGTGGAGTCTGACTCAAGGTGCAACGGTGCTCTATATGGTTTTCCGTGACTGGGTTTTCAGTAGGAGATCCCCAAATATTCTAAGGAACCTCAAAGTGGACTCAAACTTCCAACCTTTCATTCAGCAGTCAAGTATATTGACCATTGCATCAGTCAAGGACTCTTGGGAAAAGACTGAGTTGATTGTGGACTGAGTGGGTCTGAGCAGTCACATTTTGGTGAGCGGTGGAGCAGGTAAGTACTGCCTCACTAGAGGTCTTTGAAAAAGACTGGTCTAGCAAATAAACCGACTCATCGTGATCCTGTATAGGATTTGAACCGCTGACCTTGCGATTCGCAGTCCAATGATGGTCCTACAGCACCAAACTATTTCTCCAGCGAGGAACTGGGACTTAGGGAGTCGGACTTGGGAGTTCATGACGTACTCTCCATTCTGCCGGCGACCCTGGAAGGAAACCTTGTTTCTGTTTGGAAGCAGATTTTTCTCGACTTGGTGAATGGTCTTCAGGTCCAAGACAAGAGGTTGAACTACTCAGCTCCCTAAAGCCAGCAGCCTCCCTTTTTCCTCTGCATCTGCCTAGAGTCCTTACCTTGTTAAGTGCTGTTGAGTCAGTTCTGACCCAACATGTATAAGGTTTCCAAGGAGTCACTGAAGAGCTTGAACCACCGACCCTGTGGTTCTGATGACTTTGCAGTCCAGCACAGTAGCCCACAGCGCCACACCCTGCAGGACTCCTATGGATCCTTTAAAATCTACATGGTAGATTCTGACCAAATGAGAAATCAGTTCTGGAAAACTCCATATCGTCGGGGTTTCAATCCACACTAAACCTCAAAGCATTTATACCCATTCCCTACAAAGGAAATATTATAAGACCTTAATATTGTTAGGTGCCTTTGAGTTGGTTCTGACTCAGCAACCCCACGAACAGCAGAATGAAACACTGCGTCCTCCTCACACCTGTTACTCTTGATCCCATGCTGCTACCACTATGTCAAGCCTTCTTGTTGAGGCTCTTCCTCTTTTTTGTTGACCTTCCACATTATCAAGCATGATGTTCTTCTGCAGGAACTGGTCCCTCCGGATAGCATATCTGAAGCATGAGAGAAGAAGTCTCACCATCCTGGCTTCTAAGTAGCATTCTGAATGTACTTCTTCCAACACAGATTTGTTTGTTTCTGACAGCCCATGGTACTTTCAATATTCTTTTTACGCCATAACTCAAATGCATCAGTTCTTCCACTGTCTTCCTTACTCAGTGTCCAACTTTTACAAATACCATGGCTTAGGTTGGGTGCACTTTAGCCCTCCATTTGACATCTTTGCTCTTGAACATATTTTAAAGAATTCTTCTGCAGATTTGCCTAATGCAATGCATGTTTTGAGTTCTTGGCTCTTGCTTACACGAGCACTGGTCGTGGATCCAAGCAAAATTAAGTTTTTGACAATTTCAGTCTTTCTTCATTGATCATATTATTTATTGCTCCAGTGGTGAGGATTTTTGTTTTCTTTACATTGAGATGCAATTCATACTGAAGGCTGTAATGTCTTTGATCTTTATCCTTTTCATTTCCAGAAAGCAAGGTTGAATCATCTGCATTTCACAGGTTATTAATAAGTCTTCCTTCAATTATGATGCCTCGTTCTTTATATAATTTAACCTCTTGGATTATTTGCTCATCATACAGATTGAATAAATATTGTGAAAGTATACAACCCTGGCATAAAACTTCTGATTTTAAAACATTTAGTATCCCCTTGTTCTGTTTGAATGGCTGCCTCTTGATCTATGTACAGGTTTCTCATGAGCAAAATTAAGTGTTCTGGAATACCCATTCTTCGCAATGTTATCCATGATTTGTCATGATCCATACAGTCGAAAGCCTTTGCATAGTCAATAAAGCACAAGTAAACATGCTTCTGGTACTCTGCTTTTGTGTAGCCATTTTTGAGTTATTTTCAGTAAAACTTTACTTGCATGTGATGTTTGCCATGTCGGTGTTAGTCTGGAAGCTCAGCTGAAACCTGTCCACCATGGGTGACCCTACTGGTATTTGATACACCAGTGCCATAGCTTTTAGTATCACAGCAGCCTAGCAACACACAAACCACCACAATAGGACAAACTGGCCAATGAGTAGTGGAAAGCATTAGCAGCAACATAAGTTTTACCTAAGATTCCCAATGAGAAGTAGTGAAGAGAACCTACCAGACCGATCATGCAGCCAACAACTTAAAATGCCATCAACATTGGCGTTCTCCCATAGTCCCTCCTACGCTCAGGACCATCGTGGGTAAGGAGGCTCCCCTTGACAAGACCTTCCAGTCTTTTCTACCGTTACTCAGAGTTGCTGTTTCTGTTTCTCTGGCAGAAACCTGAGCTTTGCCTTCTAAGTGGACCAGCCAAAGCCCACTTTTATAAGGAGGTTCTTTCTTTGAGAGATGTTCCTACCAGCTGCTCAGAGACCCAAACAGCCTCTATATATTATGTGAAATGATCAAATAGGGACACTCTTCCTTGCCACCAGTCATGGATGGAGAAGAGAAACATGTTTGCCTTTTTTTCACGGCCCTGTGTTCCTTGGTATGCGGCGTCTCACCCTCCAGCTTGTCTTTCATCTGGTTGAAGAGCTCAGTTAAACTCTTCTCCAGCAGTTGGGTTTCTGAGAAACAAGCTTCATCCAGTTACATGTGTCCCAAGGGCAGTGTCAGTCTCTTGGCCCAGGACTTAAGCACCAAACTGTTCCTGCCAGGTACTTTTGCCAGAACTTCCTATAAGTCACAGGGTCCTTCTCAGGACACTGGCCCAGGAGCCTGTGATCCCTCTGGCTGGTTCAGCCTTTTTTTCTATTCAATTCTTCCTCTTCATGAACAAGGTACCATCCAGTACATTGCAAATCACGGTGTCTCCATGTGTGTTAAAGTCAAACTATGGGCCATAGAGTTTTCAATGGCTGATTTTTTTCAGGAGACCACCAGGATTTTCTTTTGAGCCACTTACAGGTAGATTGAACCCCCAACCTTTCAGTTCACAGCTGATCATGATAACTGTACCATCCAGCGACTTTTCCTCTTCACAACACAGGTATAAATAAATGCCTAGAACATTTTTCTTCAGTCAGCCTTTCTATGTAGCAGATAATCTACTCAAAGGCATCTCCTTTAACAAATGCAGAAAACCGCATCTAGTGGAAAGCAGCATTCATTATAATATACAACAACTGAAAAGTTGCTTTCCTTCTCTCCTGACTACCTGCTTTAGGTTGTTGCTCACTCCCTCTCTCCCCTCTTTCCTTCCTTTCATGACCCCTGTCGTGAAAATAAGCACTGGTGATGTAGTAGTTAAGCAGTCAGCTGCTAACCGAAAGATCAATGGTTCAGACCCAGCTGCTCGATGGGAGAAAGCTGTGGCTGTCTGTTTCCATGAAGATTTACAGCTTTTGAAAACCCTTAGCATGGAAACGCAATGACACAGCTCTTTCTATCCTGTGTGTCCCTAGTTGTCAGAATTGCCTCAATGGTAATCGGTTATTGGGGTCGGGTGGGAAATGCCACGTTGTCAGTATCTAATATTAAGTTAAACAGACATGCTTTCTTATGTTCTAAAACTTCAATCAGTATTTTCCATACATTTAAAGATTCAGTATATATTTAACAAGAATGTACTTAACAATTTACTGATAGCAATTTGTTCATAGTTGAGTAAATCATTTCACAGCAGAATAACTAATGGATTTGGGTGATGAGATCACAAGGAAATTTTTTCCCCGGTTCTCCCTTTTAATTATGTAATGCTGTTTCTGTAGTTCATTGGACTCCTGGTGTGGCGCTGTAGGATCAGCACTGGACTGTGAAGTACAAGGTTGGCAGTTCAAACCTACCAGCTGCTCATTGGAAACAGAGTTGCTATGTGTCAGAACCAACATAACGGCACTTAACAACAACCACATAGTACATTTGGCATAACAAGACCAAAAGGGCTAACCTGGAGACTGTAG